CAACGGTCTAATCCAAATCCTCCGGTATAAGCACAGACATAAACATAAGAGAGAGAGAGAGTTTATGTGTTTCAGAGTTTCTGGGAGCGACAGAGAGAGAGAGAGAGAGAGGGGAGAGAGAGATAGATAGATAGATAGATAGATAGATAGAGAGAGAGAGAGAGAGAGAGAGAGAGAGAGAGAGAGAGAGAGAGAGAGAGAGAGAGAGAGAGAGAGAGAGAGAGAGAGAGAGGGTAAGACTAAGAGCGTGTCTTTGTGTCTGTATACATGTTTATGTATATTTGTGTCTGTGAGTGAGTATGTGTATGTGTGTCGTGTGTGTGTGTGTGTGTGTGTGTGTGTGTGTGTGTGTGTGTGTGTGTGTGTGTGTATGTATGTATGTGTGTATGTATGTATGTGAGTATGTGTGTGTTTGTCTGTCTGTCTGTCTTTCTGTGTGAGTGTGTGTTTGTGCGCACTCGCTCGATTAAACAATTGTTAATGAGAATGTTTACCCATTTGCATTTGCGTGCACTATCATGCATTTCACTTTACAGGGAGACGTGTGCCGTAAACAACCAAAGCAAGGAATAATCGATATGATTAGGCCATGCCCTTCTTCCAAACCAGTTCTGCTTCATTCAAGTGTTGCGGTTTTCCTAATCTTTCCCTGGATCGCGGAATTGTTATTCGTCCGTTGAGACGCTAAATCACAACTCGCGATACATTTTTATTACAGCTCAATAACAAGAAAAACCTTCACGCCAACAAAGAAGGAGAAAATCAAAGTCCACGCTTGTTTTTCTCAAAGCAATGTCTTATACCGAGTGCACACTGACGATCGAATTAATTTGATTGAGTTGGGGTCAGTCTGATTTTCTTTGCTTCAAGTCAAGGAAAGGCAAAAGCTATCATTTTTGGCACAATTTGATTGGATACGACTCAAACCGATTGTGTCCTTCAAGATCAAACGCGTTGTTGTTTTTTTCAAATGTCCCAATCGAATCGGTCGCATTGAGCTAAATTATGATAGTTTTTGTTTCTCCATGGAGTAAAAGTCTGAATGACCCGATTCGATTCGACTGCTCTATGCTTTGATTACCTTACGGTGAAGAGAGAGAGAGAGAGAGAGAGAGAGAGAGAGAGAGAGAGAGAGAGAGAGAGAGAGAGAGAGAGAGAGAGAGAGTAAGAGAGAGAGAGAGTAAGAGAGAGAGAGAGTAAGTGAGAAAGAGAGAGAGAGAGAGAGAGAGAGAGAGAGAGAGAGAGAGAGAGAGAGAATAAGTGAGAAAGAGAGAGAAAGTGAGATAGATATATAGAGACAGAGAGAGACAAAGAGAGACAGAGAGAGAGAGAAAGAGAGATAGATAGAGAGAGACAGAGAGATAGAGACAGAGAGAGAGAGAGGGAGGGGAGGCGGAAAGAGTAAGAATTCGATCGGCTGTTTGCACTGGATATGAGACGGTAAACAAGTGGGCCAGATGAGGTGGGGTCAGCTGAGTGGGCGAGCGATCAAGCTGTATTATGAAATAACTATTGTTGTTGCACGCATGGTTTGACAGCGGTCACGATTCCTAATACAACTAATTATGAGGATCAGTGACCGTTACGATTGAGGCTGGTAATACACACTAGCTGGCTCATGCTTGTTGCTGACTGGTTGTTGTTGTTGTTGTTGTTGTTGTTGTTGTTGTTGTTGTTGTGGTTGTTATTGTTGTTGCGGTTGTTGTTGTTGTGGTTGTTGTTGTTGTTGTTGTTGGTGGTGGTGCTAAAATTATTGCTGATATTGTTGATTTTTTATGCTGTTGCTGTTGCTGCTGTTGTTGTTTTTATTGTTTTTGTTGTTGTTGCAGCTGCTGCTGCTGCTGCTGCTGCTGCTGTTGTTGTTGTTGTTATTGTTGTTGTTGTTGTTGCTCTTTTCTTCTTCTTCTTCTTCTTCTTCTTCTTCTTCTTCTTCTTCTTCTTCTTCTTCTTCTTCTTCTTCTTCTTCTTCTTCTTCTTCTTCTTCTTCTTCTTCTTCTTCTTCTTCTTTCTATGGTGGTGGTGACTCATTCAATAATGAAGGCCTAAAGAAATGGACGGTTGGTGATAAAAAGGACGACGAGTCTTCTCAAGTTGTGGTTAGTGGGAATGGGTTTAGAACAAGGGAAACATGCCTAGAGTCGTGCATTCACTTGAGTTCGTTAGTTGGAGAAAAAGAGAAGCAAATCTAGTCGATAATAGTCATTTAAGGCTAAGGGGAAACGTTGGACAAACAAACAGAAGTAATAGAGGGGGCTGGTGAAAAATACGGATAGCAAGATCTGCTTACTGCACAGTCCAGACACCCCCCCCCCCCCCATCAAAATCCGCCCACCCCCTCATTCCTGTGGTTAAAAATAGAAAAAAAACCTTGTCGATTGTTTTTTTGGGTTTTGGGGGGGGGGGTTTTTTTTTTTTTTGGGAAGGGGGGGGGGGGGGG